CGGATTACCGATATTAACAGGTTCAAACACTCATCATATGACGTATTAAAATTTGAAGCAGTGGTGGAAATCCAAACCACAACATCGGTATGTATTGAGAGCCCTAGACATTTCCTCTGTTGAAATAATTCACACCGTCAAATATTATTTATTCATTTTGATTGCAAAGAATTTTTCAGCGAATCCCAGGCAATTGGCATATTGTAAAACCGATTTCATTAAACCAGAAAATCATTCTGGACTATTTTCCGGGAACCAAGAACATAATTGCAATCGTAGTAGGCGATAGAAACGGAATACCAGCAATTACTGTAACCATAGAATACATAAAAGGCGTAAAGAATTTTTTGTTTTTCAAACCAAAAATATAATTATCAAAGCGTCTGTGAATCTGACCGAACATAATTTTATGGAACAACGCAAAATAACTAACAGAAGAATTTATCAAATTCGTTTGCTTCCGAGTTGAAAGAAAGAATAAACAAAAGTAGCAGCAAGTTCAATTCAATTCAATTCGTTCTCACTCATTTAATTCTTCACTTATGCATAATTCTTAGATTGATATGAAACTAGAAAAACGTGGATTGAAGAGTCACATGATTTATGGTCATCATTCATGTCCTTATGACATTGAGCAAACTATTATTGATGCAAAAAGTGATGCAATATAGAACCAGCCTGAACTTCTGTGCTATTAATGTCTCCTCAGATTTATTGTTCACATCTATGATATATATTTATACCTTAGATATTTTCATGAATTTCTTTCTCTATGTTGATATGTTTTAATGTGTAAATTTTTCTTTTTGAATTCCTTAGTTTGAAAACGTCGTGAAATAGTTCATAAACAATGGCGGAGATTGCGGAACACGCAGATGCAAACCACCAGGAAATGTGGAATGTGTTTGGTTACTAAGCAATAGTACTTCAGTGGTACTTTCTTTTAATAATATAATTTTTTTCTTTTACATGACATAGTCAAATTAAGTCAGCAAAAACTCTGAGCAATTGTCTTTTGAAGCCGATGGCGCGTGATGCTCTACGTAGTAGTGACAGTCATAAGGGCATAAGGGTAAAATTTAATATCTTTCGGAAATTCGGTAGAGTATCGAAATCATTAGCAGATCATGAAGAGACTTTAAATTTTGAATATTTTGAACTTCACTTTGAAACTGAACTGAAAAAGTTTTTGAAACTTATGAATTTGACTTTGAGAGAAAGGAATGAAATGGTACGTATCGTCGATGTGTTGAAATGCTTTGAAGAAAGATATATTGTAGTCATTTCAAATTTTTATTATTCGAGTTAAAACTAACAAAAAAAAGCCATTTTAAATGTAATTAAAAATAAGCTAAATTTAATTGAACTATTTAGCTAACAGAAGAAAATTAGAAATAGTAAAATATTCCTTTCGTAGCCTTACTGTTTTGCCAATTTGGTTAATCATCTAATTAATATATTATAACAAATATTATCATTATCAACATTTATCAGAAAATGTTTATCAAATTACTTTCATTTCTATTCTTAGAGAATTAATTGAAATATTTGAACAATGATAACATTTAATGAAAAAAAGAAAGAAAAAATTAGCTGTCAAGAAGGATGAGTAAGAGAACTAATTTATTTTCCCTTTTCCTCTTCCTTTTTTCTTCTTTTCAAATGATATTTCAGATTTCAATCTTTTCCTTTCATTCGTTTTATAAACATATCCTAAATTACTTATACGAGCATGTAACGGACAATCATTATAAGGATTCATATTACAGCAACATACTATCAATGGCATAGCTGTTTCTTCATCACGTGTATCCGTATAGAAGCATTTTCTGGCAAATCCATTTTTTAAATAACTTGAGCATAATGCTAAATATGGATATTTTTCCAATAATGTTTCATCAATATCTGATATGCAACCAGCCGGAAGCTAAAATATAAATAGTTAGAAAATGAAATAAAAGATTAGTTCATTTCAAATTAATTCAAATAAATGAAATATCATAAATATTTCAAAAAGGAACACGCTGATATTATCAGGAAGGAAATAAAAGCAACAACAATAACAAAATGAAATATTATGTAATACGATATAGAGAGAAGGAAAATCGACATAGAGAAAGAAAAAAGCTAAAAGCTAATATTTTTTATTAAATTGAAAATATTTAATTAATTTTGTTGAAAGTTCAATGATCTATAAATTATCGCATCATTGTGGAAATAATTCTATGTTTTTTATTCATTATTTAGCATAACTTACATTATTGGATACTGCAAGTGAAGTATATCGAATCTGATAGCAACCCAACGGTGATTTACATTTAACCGAACTTCTATCAGGTTTAATGCAGAAATATTGCGCTTGTCGATATATCTCTTCACTTCTCTTCCATGGTAAATCTACTGGTACCAATTCACGCATATACATGCTCTGAATCTCTTTTTTCTTATTACACGGAATGTTATTATCTGCAATGGTGATAATGAATTTAATTGAATTAATTGAAATTATTTAATTGAATTTAATCACTGAATTAATTTAATAGAATTTAATTGAATGTTGCTATTTTATGAATTTAATTGAACTGCTTTACTGTATTGTTCTATCCAAAGATTTCTCTTTGATTCAAATTTTAAGAAATTCCTCAAATCCATTCACAAATTCCATTTTACTCATTGTTTAATAAAATTTAAACTTCTGATTAAGCTTTATAAATTTGTTTGTGGTAGAATTGTTAATTAGTTAGTTAGTTCTTACACTACAATTTACTTAATTTGACTATTTCAAAAATTATAGAAAGTGTCTTCTTCAAAATTTTTGCTCTCTGTCTACTAATACTCTGTAATTATTACATATGAATAATTCTTTCATCTCTTTTCATTTTTTTTACGATTTCATTTTCAACAGAAATTAAAATGCTCCGATCGTATTACGCATTATTTCACTCAACTATCGTTGCAGTTCCTTACTTTTACATTTCTTTTCCTATTCCTCTTCTCAGAAATCCCTCAAATTCATTCGCAAATTTCATTTTACTCATTACTTAATAAAATTTGCTGATTAAACTTTATAAATTTGTTTTAGTAAAATTATTAATTAAATAGTCATATACTATAATTTATTTAATTTAACTATTTCAAAAAAAAGGATTACAGTTTTTGCAGCAACAAAAAATTTGGGCATTAAATGATGCGCAAGTATATATTCCATCTTCGGTTGAAATTTTGGCACAAATTTCACGAATTTCCGGATGTGTCGTAATTTTTACCTAAAACAATTGCACGAAAATAAAAAAGTATTTAGAAGTTAGCAGAAATGTAAATTATTTTAAAAGAATATGCGAAACGTAAAAAAAGCTTAAAATAAAATTAGTGAAAATTTGAAAGGATATTTTAAACAAAGAACAAATGATGCTGCAAAAATTCATAGTAATAATTAATAATTTCGAAATAATTAATAATAATAATTTTCAATTAGCTCGCTAAAAACAATATTCAAACTTATGAATTTCGAATAAATCCATAATTAAAATATTATGAATTTTTTAAAAATTGATTTTTAAAAATCTATAATTTGAGTGCTATGAATTTTCATCAAAAATATAAAAGATTATTAATTAAAGAAATTAAAGAAGATGATACATACTTCGTCACTGATCCAATGAGTTACAAGCTTTCCCATATTCATTTCAATTCCCAAACGATCATAACACCAAAAAGTTTCAACTATTTGTAATAAAAATTAAGTTTTAAAAAAAGATGTATTATTAAAATCAGAAATTAAATAATTAAAAATTATTTACATTCGATTGATTAATTAATGGTACTTTTTTGTTTATGAATTAATATTAATTCGTAATAATTTCCGTAATATTGTTATACAATAATTTATGCTAATAAATTAATAATTTATTTATATAATTTCTATAATGTTGCCAATTCATACCCATTCATTCATTTTTAAACTTCCATTATAATTTAATTATTATAAAATAATTAAATTATAATTTAATCATAGGTATTTAAAATAAAATTAATTCTAATAGTAATTTAGTCGAATTTGAGTTTCATCGTTTTTTTTTGCAAATTTTTCAATCATATAACATTTAAGGTTAAAGGTTTAGGGTTCATTTAAGGTTAAATAACATTTACAATGTTCTTTTCTTTCTTTTCACTCTTCTTTTTAAAATGCTTAAATCAAAGCAATTAATGATTACCTGATGGTTTTGTGATATTATTTAATAAAAAATTAGCTATGCCAATAGGTGCTGAATTTATTGCATCCATTATCAAATTTATATGATAACATGAAGGTAATTTGGATTTTTCAGCATCTGCCATTGCTTTTCTTGCTATTCTCTTTTCTAATTTAACATCACAAGCTGATTTATTCATTCTAAAAAAGAGTAAACGGAAGTTAATTTGCTTGTTTTAATTATATCATTTCTAAATGTTATCATTCATTAGGTATTTTAGCATTTACTATCACGCATTTAGATAATGATATGAATGTTATCATTTATGTTCATTTCTTAATCTTATCGCTTTATGCTTATTTCTTTATAGTAATTCATTAATTGCATAACCTAAAAAATGCCTTAATGTAATTTATACTTATTACTACTACTTATTCAACAAAAAAGCAAAATGAAAATTCAAAATATTTTAGTTCTTTTTTCGAATAATTCAATAAAAAAGGTTTATCTTAACTTTCACCTGCATATTTACTGTAATTCTTTAAAACAATGTTGAAATGTTTAAGTTAATAAAAACTTCTCATATGATCGATCTTCGTCAATTATTTATTTTCTGCAATCAATTCATCTATCATCATAATTACTATTGGATCATCGATCATTCCTTATCTTTCATATTGCTTCTTATTCGAGCTATTACATATTCTCACAATATTTTCAAATTAAAAATTTTCTTAATCAAATTATCAAAAAATGGTAAACCTTTCTGATAAAGCTTTTCCAGGACAAGTGCACACATATATAAGTCTACCCATTAATGTATCATCACGTTTGTAAATTTCATCTTTGCAACGAACTGGTATGTTTACACGTATTTTTGCTTCAATAAATTGACAGCCAAGTTTTTTATAAGCACTAAAAAAATATTCAAATTTCACATTGTTGCATATTTCCTACAAATTTGAAATTGTTTATTAATTTACTCAATTATTGATGAATTAGTAGAAATGAATAGTAAGCGAAGATATAATTTATATATTTGCATAGATAAAATTTTGAATAGTAAAAGTTAAAATTTTCGATCAATTATTTTGAATAATTTTAGTTTTCGAATTAATTAGCAATTTTGCATTCTTTTATTCATTAATTTCTATGAATCAATCGCCTACTACTTTATAAAGCAAAAAAGAAAAAGAAAAAAATATACAAAATTTCTTAAATTACCTTTTATTCTTCTAATCATTTCAATAAATAAACTTATTAAACAGGTAATAATTAAAATAAATTAGCCTAATTATATTGTTTATATTGCAATTTTTTACTTTTAATATTTGTATTAGTGAAAAAAAAAATGATACATTCGAAAATATAATTTTAGAGAAGTCTAACAGCAACAACAACAGCAACAACAACAACAACAATTGCAACACCAATGATAACAACAACATAATGCGTAAGCTATGACATTTGCAGCACTAACTTATGGTCATCTTCTCGTGGTAAATCCATGTTAACATTCACATGCAAATTAACAACTTTTCCAAGTACAAAATCATAATGCACAGCGCAGTATTTTTCGTCACCTGACAGGAAGACAAAACGAAATTCTGACAAATGCGCACATAATGGATTCTGAAATGCATGACAATTAAATTGTTATAATAAATAAAGAAATTTCAAATTTACAATTAATAAAAAGAAATCGATTGATTTTTTTTAAAATACATTGTTCTTTAATTAATTGAAACAATTAGCATGCAATTAAATTATTGACAGCAAAAAATAATTCAAAATATTTCTCATAACCTACGTAATTTATATTTTTTCGATTTTTATTTAAAACAATAATTTTCTAAAAAGTTTTAAATTTAATTATTAAAATTGAAAAAAAGAAAGGACAACGAACATTTATATACATAGGTAATGAATAGAAAGCACGATATGAATTCATATCGTGATTACATAAATGGTTACCCTCACAACAACAATCAACTGTCATTTTTTCCGGAATACTTTCCTGTGCTGGGCAAATTAAATTACGAATTTGACAGTAATGATAACCATTTTTATTTTTTCGTGCCATCGTACAACCGGATGCACTATCCATTTCCATTATCCTCAAAAGAAAGCTATCTTCTTCATTTTAAATGATAAAATTTAAATTTTAATTGTTCAAAATTAATTTCACATATGGTGTAATTCTATTGTACAATTTCAATTTCTATTTCTCATATTATGCTGAATAATTAATTAGATTAGATAAACTTAATTATTAGTAAGATATGATAAAATTGCAACATAATAAAAAACAAATATTTGCTGTCATTTAAATTTAAAAAGTTCAATATAATTGAAAATAGAAAAGAAAGCAAAGAATCTAACACTAATTCATTCATCACTTAAATATTTTAATTAGAATGATTGTTTTAGTAAAAAAGATTTTAAATAAATTTTTTTCTTTTAAATAATTTGAAAATGAATAATTAATGAATACATTTGAAATTCGCCACCAAACTTTCTTCTGTAACGATAAACGGATCGACATGAGTGAACATTGATTGGAAACGCATCATTTATTAAACGTTTTTCTCTCAAAGTTTTATTCATTTCTAGCTGTAATAAAATTTTTACAGTATAACTAAAATGAATAAAAACAAAAACAAAATATTAACATTTCAAAAGCATTACCGTAATTAAAATGTAATATCGAATATTTGAATTTGATAATAAAATTGACAGTTACTGTAATACTATCATTAAGTATTATTGTGACATTAATTCATATTTTTAAATTAATGAAATCATTTGATAGAAATAATGATAATGGATAAACGGTAATATATAAATATTATACATATTATATGAAGAACAATAATCGTAGATTAATACTATTAATTAAAATTAAATTTTATTTCATGCAACTGTTTGGAACAAATATAATTTTAAATATTAATTTAATTTTAATCTTTTACCGTTCCAATAGCACAAACAATTTGTGGCTTCTTTTTGCTTCTTTCGTCCAATTCATTTTCATATTTACGACGTACTGAATTTTCATCTAATCCATATTCTGCCAGTTTATGCGATTCATCAAGCGAATCATTTAAAAAAATTATCGGTTTGCCTGGATCAACTCTTAAATCATTCTCCAATGAACTACATATTTCCAAACTTTCGTCGCAACAACATAGCTGATAATAAAAATCCGGTGTTGCTAATACTGTGCATTCGGAAAACTGAAAAAGAAAACGGAATATTTCTTCTGTAAATCTTTCATATTCAATCATAAATAAAGTAGCTCCTGCAAAAAAAGTAGAACCGAATAACTTTCATTTACTTATTTTGTTATTTTTCCCATTGAAATTTCTGCAAAATGGAACTTGGATACGAAAATAGAAGTTTAATTGATTGAACGGAAAAGTAATTAATGATAAATTAAGCAAATTTAAAATTGTCCAATTTGTGCTATCAAAAATGAATTTGCTTACATCAAAAAATCTATTCGAGTCACTTTCAACCTGTTTGGTAGATCTCGATCTACAATATCGTTTATTCCCCAATGCTAAATAATCGATTGGAAAGGACTGATAGTCTTGCTCTGGAAGCTATAATTAAATAAATGTGATATGATGAAAGTAATAATGCTAATTTCAGATTATTCTTAAACAGTCAAAAGTTTCAAATGCATATTTTTTCACTTTGCATATAAAACTAGACTATGAAAAAGTGAATTAATGCAAAATTTTTAATGCAGGCTTAATTCGGCAACATTAAAATTGCCGAATTTGATCATAACATTTGATATTTCATGAAACTTGAATTAATTGAATTATTTAAAAACTATGCTTAACCAAAAAATCAATACTACCTTGTATAATAAAATGAAATTGATCAAATGTATTAATTGAAATTATTATGAAATAATAACATACGTAATTTTTAACAATATCTGATGCTTCAAATTGTGCCATATCATACATTCGGAATAATCCAACCTTGAAATGCGGAATAAAGCCTACTCTTCCTTCAATAATTGCAACACATGAATCACCAACTAAACTCTACAATTTTAAAATTATTTAAATATTGAAATACACTTGCATTACAATCCTAATACTATGCATTTATCGCGGATATATAGCGGAAAGCTTTTCTTTAGTTTATGTTAAAAATTTAAAAATTTCGAATTGAAGAACTATTGATTGTTTACATTTTATTTGATTGATTATTGTACAACATATATTAATGCTACAAATTATTTAAAAGTATATTTGTAAACCTGACTGATACATTCTTCATGAATGTTATTAATATTTGTACTTCTTTTTGTTGCTATCATTTGTCGATATTGTGATGATAATTTATGATAAAATAAAGCGCTTAAAGGAGCTAAAGCGCTATCATTCGTTACTTTCCACTCATTTTTAATACAATAAAATATCACATCAACATTGCGTAATATTTTTCCACTAAAATTTCATACAAATAAAATTATATTTTAAATATTTTTCATTCCTTTTTTTCTTTATAAATAAAATAGCTTAGATTATATAAGCAAAATTAAAAATAATTAGAGGAAGCGAATAAAAATATACTTTGAATTCTATTAAGTACAAAATTTGTTATTATTCAAATTGCAATTTAAAAATTTCGAATTATTTATGCTAAAATATTAAAGAACTATTGATTGATTGTTTACTTTTAAATTTTTGAATTAAAAAATTAAAGAACCAATGATTGTTTACTTTTAAATTTTCAATATTATAAGATTAAAGGTATTGTTTATTTTATTTCTATTGTATTTTTAAAACAATTGCTTTAAAATGTCGTTAATATTGCAGAATTTTAAATTATTAATGTTAACGTTTACTTTTTTCTAATAATAACAATATTAAAGAGAATGAAACTATCAGTTATCATTGATACTCAAGTCATTAACATTGCCAAAACTAAATTCTCCCTTATAAAATGGCATAATGTGATAAATTAGCAATATAGCTAATTAACTAATTAATAATGTAAATAATTAAGTTACTTGAAACAAATGCAAATTAAGGAATTGATAGGAACAAATGGAAGAGGAAATGATGAGTATATTACGTTAAATTGCTATTTAACTGTCATTAATAATATTATTAACAAAGCAATCAAATGGGAAGTCACCGAGGTCTTGATATATTAAGGTACTGTTCTAACAATTAAGAAAGTTCAATAATAAAGTTAATTAATCATAATTCATAAGTGCAATATGGTTTAACTTTTACACTTCATACTATATTTTTCATTTTATCTTTGACCTAAATGAGGTCTTTCTTCGCATATTCAAAAAACAGTAACTATGTTTATAATAATGATAAGGATAGGTGATAAGGAACGAAATAAATAAATAGTTATGATTTGTTAATGAGATATGTTTGATAGATTCAAGCCAAATTTATCATCATGTTTTACAATAAACAAAATGTAGACCGATGTTGAATTTTGCTCTGTTAGAGTAAATTATTCGATGCATCAAATTGACTACAAAATTTCAGGAAATAAGTTATCAATCTTGGAATAACATTTTAAAAGTTTGTGATAAAATGATAGGGATGAATTGCTCTAACTGTTAATTTATTAAAATCATCGAAAATGCTTCATCTTTTAATTATTCACAATATTTCTAAAGAGATAATATCGGATAGATTATCAACTACAAATTTAATACTTTCATTTTATATAATAGTCTGCAAATTAACTTACTCCAAATTATTCAATGAATTATTGAAAATGATCGGGAATCTTTCATCATCATAAGTGATACCGTATAATTCATCATTATTTTTTAAATTTGAACAAGCTCGTAACAAGTGCTCAACATTTATTGAATTTCCATGATTGTTCGAACCATAATTCACTGTAACATTGAAATCCATTGCAATCCAATAATAGCAATATTCTTGTGCTGCAAATCAATGATATAATCACTTTCAATGAAATAGATATTATGCAACATGATTGATCATATCATATCATATCAAACATGATGAATAAGAAAAGAGAAAACTTATAATTTTAATTTCATAATTTCATACCTTCATACAGAGATGAGTTAAATAATTCGGTGCAAGAAATTCTTTGTTCCACATTTTCTAAATAATCAATACAATTTTATCTTTAATTAAAAAAATTTCTGCATATGACAAATCTAATTTGAACAAATTTGCTGGTTATAGTAAAATAACCATTCATAACAAATTGATTCGATCATTTATTGTATCAGATTCGCTACGGTAATTGATAGCGATTATAAATTTAAATTACAAGTTACCATGCAATCAATTATATAATAAAATGAATGAAAGTAATCATATTATTGTAATTTATGTTATTCTGATAATGACTGATAAACTGATAAGCAATGAATGATTGCCTTGATAAAGTTTAACTTAATAACAGTTATTTTCAAGCAATTTATTTGTTGTCTTAAGCAAAACGTCAAGTTATTTTATAGCCAGTTGCTAAAAAAAAACGAAAATTCCTTTTAAATACTCCGGCATTCTCTTTGAACAATTATGAATTGAAAAGGTTAAGTAAAATAATAAATAAATAATACATTGATTAGTGATCATCATTTATGATAATGAAGCAAATACAAAAAAGTAAATAATCAAATGATCCTCGGGCAAGTGATCAAATGATCCTTGAGCAAGTGATCAAATGATCCTTGAGCAAGTGATCAAAAGTGATCAAATGATCTGATCAAAAGTGAATCACTCAAAGAGAATCTTCAATATAAAAATGGAAATTAAAAAAAGTTATATTAAGAATTGCTTAAAAGTGAAATTTTAGTAATTTTTAAAAATTCAAATTTAGCTTAAACGAACGTCGTTTTTTGGAAATAATCGCTGCTATATTGATGTCAAGAATTATCAGGAATAGATGAATGAAAAAAATGGAACACATATCAGAAATAAGTTTTTCAGTGTGTTTAAAGGTAAACAACCACTTCAAGTTCAGGTACAGTTCACAACAAATGCTATTTTCAAAAGGAAAAAGAAAACTAAATTTTGGAATTTATAGTCATTGCTATTTTCACTAATTTTGCATAATTTCACTTTAAACAAATTTGTTTTAGTTGGTAAATCAATCTGAAAAGTTTTAAATTGAAATGGTTAACTATAGGAATGAAATTTTTGATTGTTTTTGATTTGTATAATAAATTTGCGTTCAAATTAATATAATAATTAATAACTATTCGTTGCAACGATTACAATGGCAGTAATAAAAATATCAAATAAATATTATAGAAATAATATTGCTGTTCACTTTCTTTGCATCCCTATTTATCCTTTTTGCATGTTTTTTACAGATGTATTTTTTTTAATATATTCATCTTATTTCATATATTTCGACAATACAGCTATATCTATCAGAATCGATTCACATCCACCAGAACGGGTCACGATATATTTGAAATGAATTTCAGGTGAAAGGATACGAGATCAAAACAAAATATTGAAGAAAAGCGATTTCAGCGTTTTGTAATAAAAGATATCATATGTTTTAGAGATTTAAATTTTCCTCATATATGAAATATGAACAAACAATACGTATTATTTGATCAACGAAGAAAAGTCCCATTTGCATAAAACGATGATTTTCATATCAATTGCTAATTCAAATTGAAGTTTTGTTATCAAAAATATTAGTTCATCAAGCGGTCGAATATGAAGTGGTTGGTTTTTATAAATGTGTTAATTGCAAAATATATTTCAAATTTGGCGATCATTGCTGTACGTTACGATGGCCAACATTCCTTTCATATTTTCATTTAATACTTTTAATTCATTAATTACCTTCGACTAATAATAATGGGAATAGATAAAAATACTAATTAGCATCCATACCAAAACGGATTCTGAAATTTACTTCTGAATATATTGCATGCTTTACTGATATCTTATGATATCTTTCATCTAAACATTTCGATACATAAAATCGTTGGAGACAAAAAGCAAAGTTTTTGATCTTTGTTCACTGCGAGCAATTTGAACTATTCATTGATTCTTGCATAGCTTTAAAGGTTTCTTCAACATTTTTCCTTCTCATTTAATGTGTTGAAGAAGCTGTTGACATTTTTTAATTTCTCATTCACAAATAAAATTTCTAAATTTCTTTGTTTACCAACAAATACATAACTTTTCAGGATTGCAATAGCGATTTACTGGTTTTATGTCTTCTGTCCGGAGGAAGCGATGATGGCAAACCTGCCCTCTGTCTTTGATGCAAGTGAAAAGAATCACATAAATATGAGTGAACAATTTTATTTCAAAAATCAAACTGGGCTAAAAGAGGTAGAATATTAAAACAGAAGTTAAAATGAATACAAATATTTAAAATGTCTTTCGGAGACAACGTAGTGGTTCAATGCTATATAATAAATAAGTTGCAACTTGTGCTTTCTAATAATGAATAAGTTACAGTTTATTCTTTCTTGATACTTTCTCATTAATGACATCTGACTAAAAGGATATCAACAATATGCAGATCTAACTCCATATGGCAACTAAAAGGATATCAACAATAAACAGATCTAACCACACATTACTACTCTATTACTGTATCCAATAAAAGTTATGTTTGTGAACTGTTCATTTCAGATACATTATTTCGTCCGTAAGTTTGAATTCAATGATTCTGTCATAATACGCATGAAGCATTACAATTATACTATTACTAAAGGTTATGAAGAGATGTGCATGTAAGTATTCCATTTAAAATATATTATTATTAAGCAAAAATTACTTCCTCAAATGTTAATTAGAAATACAATCATTACGGGAAAAATTTTTCAGAGAATGCAAATATTTTTTCCAGGATGGAGTTCGCATTTCTGGATTCGATCGGTTCTCAANAAATATATTATTATTAAGCAAAAATTACTTCCTCAAATGTTAATTAGAAATACAATCATTACGGGAAAAATTTTTCAGAGAATGCAAATATTTTTTCCAGGATGGAGTTCGCATTTCTGGATTCGATCGGTTCTCAAGCAATTCAGCTTGAAGTTTTACCTGTCCTTGGTCGAGTAAACTTTTATATTTTATTGCAATTAATTATTTTATTAGAAACTTCATTGCATCAAGAGTGGAAGTTATATATTCTAACAACATATAATCAGTTTGCTAGCATAGATAGGCCAAATTAGGCATAAATTGTTTTGTGAAGTGTTCGGACCAAATTGTTGCAACTAAATTATTTGTTCACTTTCAGTTTTCATTGATATGCAATGAAGACATATATCGCAGCGTTAGATATCCACGAATTGATCCTGAGTACTATTACGAATTTGTGATAATATTCTCAAATATTGACATATTGGTATTGGTTTTTTGAATAGTAATTGATATTCGATTTTTATTTAATTCTTAATTTATTTATCTCTTTATTGAAGGTATCGTTTTCAGGTATTTCATAATGAAGTACATATTATTAATATGAAAAATTGTTCCAATCGGATTACCGATATTAACAGGTTCAAACACTCATCATATGACGTATTAAAATTTGAAGCAGTGGTGGAAATCCAAACCACAACATCGGTATGTATTGAGAGCCCTAGACATTTCCTCTGTTGAAATANTTGTTCCAATCGGATTACCGATATTAACAGGTTCAAACACTCATCATATGACGTATTAAAATTTGAAGCAGTGGTGGAAATCCAAACCACAACATCGGTATGTATTGAGAGCCCTAGACATTTCCTCTGTTGAAATAGTTCACACCGTCAAATATTACTTATTCATTTTGATTGCAAAGAATTTTTCAGCGAATCCCAGGCAATTGGCATATTGTAAAACCGATTTCATTAAACCAGAAAATCATTCTGGACTATTTTCCGGGAACCAAGAACATAATTACAATCGTAGTAGGCGATAGAAACGGAATACCAGCAATTACTGTAACCATAGACTACATAAAAGGGGTAAAGAATTTTTTATTTTTCAAACCAAAAATATAAGTATCAAAGTGTCTGTGAATCTGACCGAACATCCTTAAATTGATCACTTGCACAGAAATGCTTAAACTTTTAGATACTTTATACAAAACGCGATATAGTAGACGATGAAAACATACAATGCATCAATTTTAGAAATAGTCAACAATTTAAACAACCTATGTTGGGTAGAATTGAGATTGGCGTGTTCACATATCGATTTAAGGTTTTCATTTCGATGATATTCAATAGTTTCATTAAAAAACAATTTTATGTGAGATTATTCTATGACCAGAAAAATAGGCAGCAATGATGTTTCAACAAATTTCGCCGATTCCACATCGTTTCACCAGCATTAGACAGATGTATGTAGTTTTGACTGGCAGTCATATTGTCGAAAAGGAAATTGAAATAGCATAAATAGATTTGTGTGTTATTTTTAAAAAGGAAAAGATTTCAAGTACCTGACAGATTTCTTCTCATTCTACCGGAAAAGAATCATAATTTTGTGGAGCACGCAGAATAACTAACAGAAGAATTTATCAAATTCGTTTGCTTCCGAATTGAAAGAAAGAGCGAGTTTAATTCAATTCACCTATACTTAATTCTTAGGTTGATATGAAAGTAGAAAAAAGTGGATTGAAGAGTCACATGGAAGGATGTATGATTTATGGTCATCATTTATGTCCTTACGACATCGAGCAAACTATTATTGATGCAAAAAGTGATGCAGTATTTTTCGCTCATTACATAGAAACAGCATGAATTTTATTTACCTGTCTCAGTGATACCTATGTGAACTTTTTATTATACTCAGTTGCTATTTAATATGTTTTTGATTATGAAAGACTATTATTGAAATTAAAATTAGCGAAAATTATAGCATAAAATGCAGTGAAATAATGGGTGGTAATAACCAGATGGTTAACACTGGTCCTTGTTCGATAGGATGGATATACGGCAGTGATCAATTTACAATTATCCTATCTCCTAAAAATAAACAAGAATTGGAATTTTAAGATATGAAAATTGAATCTAAGATAAGATTCATTTCTAAATTTTATCTTCTACCTGCATACGCATATGCCAAGGTATAATTTTTCTCCGCTTTGTTCGCGACTTATATTAGTAGATATAAAGATCTTTTTTTTTCAAGGTCACTAGTTATTCCTCAGATTACCGGTGGTTTGTTTCTGACAGCTGCAGTGTGCACTTTACTTGGATAGGTAATACTGCTAATAATCTATTAAAACTTGGTTTTGCTAACAGATAAAAATATATGAATATTGCGAATTTGATTGAAATTTTCAATAGTTCTATATGTTCTTATTCCAAACATAACTGAATTTTCAACAATTAATTATTGTTAATGTTATTAGTATATCCGAAAGTAATAACGATATTACCAAATTCTATTATACAAAATTAAGAAACATATGAATGCATTGAATTACAGTCTAATTTTTATTGTTTTCATTTTGTATTAATTGTATTATCACTAATAAATTAGTAAATGGAATAAAAGGAAACAATGAATTGTTGACAATGGAAAATAAAATGACCGTTCATTGAATAAGTAATGATTGCTTGTTAAGAAGCATTCCGTTTTCTTCAAAAATCTGTATAATATAACTAAACACAATAAACAAACAATAAGTAATTACATTGAGCTAATAATCCCCTTCGTTAAAACATTAGCTCAGTAATTATTACTTATTATATTCAGTTATTAGCTCAGTGAAGTTACTTATTAAGATTACCAAACATTTCATATGAAAAAAAAACAATAAAATTACTATTTAATTTCACAAATTCATTTGTTCCACATTCATTTTACACATGTCACTTTTTTATTTTTTCTTTGATTCCCTGCAAAATAAGCATTGAGTTGAAAAATACATGGAACTTAGAAATTTGAATTTGATAAATGGTAAATCAAAAATTACAACAAAACTGCATATTTCGTCTCATTTAGCTACTCTAAATCAGAAAATGATACTGCCCTAATTCAACCTGCGGGAAATCCTTCTAAAATCCGTAGTGTTTGATAAAACTTGTCGTATAATATGAGTAAATCATTGTTTTCCTCGTTTATTTCAGCAAACAAAATTTTTCAAAAGTCAGAGGTTGAAACAAATAATTGCCTTAAATTTTGAGAAATATTTGTAACCTTGATAGTTTCGATATTTTAACGAAAAAAATTACGATTTCGATACTTAAGAAAAAAATCCTTTTATAATTTACTGAAACCGTTAGGATGCTAGTATTTTTTATGAAGCCAAGATGTTATCGGGCTGAAGTTCGAAATAGAAGCTTTAGAATATTTTCAGGACTTCGGATGAGAAGAGGGGACTTCGGATGATCTCACTGAGTTAACAAATTCCAAAAATGAAATCCTAGCCGTTAGCGTAACATAAAAAGAAAATAACGAATCATAAAAATAAATAAAATGTTATGTAAAAATTTCAATGCCTACGGAAAAAGGAAACACAACTCATCTATCATTATCGAAATCGAATTAAGATTTAAAATTTCAGAAAAAAATTTTTCAAAATATTATGAACTAACTAAAAGTAAATGTAGCCTAATCAAAATTTTAAGTTATTTTAAAATTTAATAAAAGGAATATAAATAAGGAAGAAAACAAGCTGAGATTATAATCTGAAACAATGATAATAGTTTCATTTGACGTCGTTCTAATGATGAATCATCAAAATTTTGTCTTATAAATTTAAGAAACTGTAATTTACAATAGTGTTCCTGGTTTTTCCATGTATTCCTTAAAATGTTTTAGCCAGACTGCACCAACAGCACCATCAACAACACGATGATCACAAGACATCGTTACGAACATTGTTGTTATGATTTTAACCCTAAAATTAAGTAGTTTGAAATGAAGAATGTTGCAAGCAATGAAATCCGTAGAAGCAAGTAAATAAATTGTAAACAAAAATTGCAAACTTATTAAAAAAATCAATGACAATTAGGTACTGAGATATTCGACAATTGTTTCAGCCAGACTGCATAAATTCTCGAGAGTAATTTTTTTTCTTGTAGAAAAAAGCTTACCCATTTTTATCATCATCAGGAACAACCTTGCGCTCTGAACCACCGACAGCCAAAATGCATGACTGCGGTGGATTGATAATTGCTGTAAAATGACGAATGCTACCAAACATTCCTAAATTTGATACCGTAAATGTACCACCCTGAAAATAAAATCAATATATTCATTTGAATTCACGTAAAAAGAAACAAAAAAATAGATAACTGACTTCTTTTGACTAGATAAAAATCGCAGTATAATTTTAGGGACTACGAATATCACCATCATCCAATTCCATTACAAGAAAAGTGTAGAGATAACATTTCACGAATTTAAAATCTTAATTGCTAAAGAAATTTTCAAACACATTCCAAATTGATGAGAAATTTCGTAACAGTAATTATTATTAATTCAAAATGATATTTTAATAACAAACATACCATATACTCATTTGGTTTCAGTTTATTTTTATTCGCCTTATCCACTAATTGTTTAATTTCAACACTAATTTCCGCCAAATCCTAAAATTTTATAAAAATCATAAGGTGAAAAGAGTTGAATTAAAATTAAATAATTTCTTAACTAAAACAACTGTTTGGCAAACAAGTTCATACCTCAAAATTCAATAATGCTTCGATCTTTTATGTTGCCTCTCCAGCTACTGAAGTTCGCAATTTACTTCCGAAATCAAATGAAAACTACGTAGATATATCAGTTTATCCTTAATAAAAAGTTTGGCAAAGTTAGTTCAATTTCTGATAATTTCCAGAAAAAAAGAACGAACTTTAACGTCAGCATTGTAAACAATGGGTGTTATAAGGCCTGCTTCTGTCTTCACAGCAACAGAAATATCGATGGTTAAATTTTGACGGATAACTTTCTCTTTCTCCAAAAAGAAACTGTTAACTTCGGGTACATCCACGCAGGCTAACGAACATGCTTTAACGACTAAATCATTTATGGATACTTTTATACCTTGATCTTTCAGGTCAGCATTTAAATTCGCTCGTACCCTGCAATATAATTTCAATAATCTTATGATAGATCAAACAAGAATCGAATGAGGACGAGTGATGTGATGATTTGAAAATTATAATAAGAATTCATGGTGTATAACCAGTAACTGTAAAATAGAAATATAATAATTTAATTAACAACGGATGTAACGATAACAAAGAAACAACCCTCGGAATACAACATTCCTTCCATCTATAGAATTTAAAACTATAACTGTCATTAATCAGTGATCAAGTGAGAATAAATCTTAAATTAAAAGAAATTAAGGTGAATTAGTTTCAATCTATAAGAGTTGAAAAAATTGTTAACGCAATTATTTTATAAAATGTTAGTTTCACCATGAAAGTTTCAGAAAAAAGAAACTGAAAATACCACTAACTTCAACAATTCGTCCATTTCAATTTCAGAAGTAAGATAATAATGTGGTATACTTTGTTTACTGAATGATAAACGTTTAGCAATAGTTTCCCTCATATTCGTAAGTGGTATATCTTTGTATTTCGGACCACCAGACTCAACTCTTTTTGTATTGTCTTGTCCAGAACTTTTTTCAACCAGTACCACATTATCAGTGGCAAAAACAGGAGCAGTTCCCCTTACCTTAGCATTTTTCACATTGGTTACAATGGTATGTCTATCTGGACCAGCAACTTTAATTTCCTGCAACGATGAAATTGTAAAATTTTCCGGTTTTATCCAGTATTTGGAATTAATTACGCTAAAAAAAATGCGCACTTATTCATTATGTTCTACATATTCTCATTATAACAAATAACAGCATATAACGGATGCCAGTAATACTAATTGGATCAAATAATTTCATACGTTTTCCTCTGATAACATAATCAACTTCGGAAAGTAGTAAAACATTTATAGATCATCAATTATTTCGTTTAATTCATCTATTGAAAGTATAATATTTTGTCATATTGCAGAATGTTTAATTCATCTACTTCGTTTAATTTCATATTGCAGAATGTTTAATTCATCTATTTCGCTTAATTTTTTGTCATATTGCAGAATGTAGAAAGCAAGCAGTATTAAATTTTGAAGAAAAGAGAAGGAATACGATAAAGTGTTAGTAGAAGAAAGCAATTTATAAAGAAAGAGAGTCAAACATGAATTATATATGGATATTAATTTGAAATAAAATATGATAAGTTGTTAATAATAGAATTTAAATTTGATCGAAAATAGAGAATTGAGAAGTTGGGTGGATATTATTAATCTCGTATGCAACACGTGTTAAAAATGTAAAAATTCTTCATAATATGTCCAAAACAAAAACCGATATTACCCACCGACAAGTCGATACTCAAGCCAGTAGTTAATTTCCGAACATATGGGATAGCGACGGCACGGTTACTTTCCGATTTCATTGTTCGAGAAGAACCCGTAAGAGACAATGAATAGTTTCCAGCCGATAAAATCGTTCTAACAGCTTTAGATGTTGCTGAAGTTGCAAATACTGTTTCATATTGGGATCCTAAAAAAATAGAAATACTTTAAAAAATCATCTTTTATACAAAAACATCGAAATTTTAAAAACACTGAATAAGAAGAAATTATCAAGAATCCAACTTCTCTAAAGATAACTTTCAAAATTATTTAAAATTGCAACCAATGTAAAGCAGTCATTTTAGCAACCTTTTTTAGATGTATTATTCTCCTGTCACTCCTGCTACTAATTAAAATAATCATAAATAATGGGCTACGTCCAAAAACAGTAATAAGCAATGATGGTATCACTTATCAGTATTACGATATCTATCACTTTTTCCGGTCCACTATCCTCAACATTGCTGCGGAATTGTATGATCTACTGCAGGACTAGACTAATGATGAGAAAGCTTATTAATTTTAACAGTTCAATTAGATAATGCCATAACTCCAGTTCAATTTCATCAACCATTTTTTAATCGACATATAAACAGACTAGGTATCCGAAAAGGCAAACATTGCTCTTATTAATTTATATAAAAAAACCAGTATTATATATGTTACGAATATTGCTAATATATTATTTAATACATAACTTCATTCGGCGCGATTAATTTTCATACGCTTCCATTCAATTTGTAACATTTCAATTTTGATTTGATCTAATGTTCTAATTTTTTATCTTTTGAACAATGCCTAGCAGACCTGCCAATATCATCTTTACCGTATGTTGCCAATATATGAATGTATACGTATGAGTGAAAGTTTAAGAGGAGATGGGAAATTAGTAAAATCAACGACTTAAGAGGATAATTTTATAATCATTAATTCGATTTTATTAATTGATAAGCATATCTTCGACTATTAATTATCCGGAAGTATAAGAAATGCTAGGGAAGCTACATAATGCAAAACTAATTTGAGAATTTCGACAAACACTTTTATAAATAATCCTTCTAGGCACTACCGAATCCAAAAAAGACAACATTATTTCTTTTGTAACTTCGTTTGGCAACCAATTGCTTCCGATGAAATCGCCAGCGATACCTCAGCTAAGTCATACCCCTTCACATTTTAATTAACTTTTGGAATAAGTAAACTTTAGAAAATCTAACACCATGAGTCATTCGTCGAGACCGATCCCCATCTCGAGCTTACCATTACCATGATATATATGCCATTAAACATCTGGGTAATCCTCCCCCCTCTAACGAAAATTTGTACAATAAAAATCGCATTAAATAGGCTAAATATGATTTTCCATGAATGAATCCGAAGCATTACTTTAATTGTAACTTTTTTTGATACGTCCTTAAAAAAAATTAGAAACCGAGAGTCTGATGTCAATGGTAAAAATAATGATTACACTGATATTCCTGCAAGCTGAACTGTATTTTTGGGTTTGCGACTAGATCAGATCATTAACTACGATTAGAAACTATGCGAAATAAGTACCTTTGTCAACGTTATACTTCTTTGTCAACGCATCTGCTCTTACTAATAATTATGAGACGAAATAAAGACAAATTCAACCTGTGAAGCAGCTTCTTACTTCAAATGCGATCAGCGTTGACACAAATAAGATTTTCTTTTTTTTCAAAAGCTCATTTATTCTCAGTACTTCCGCTAAGGTTTCTCTGAAAACCAAAAAAAACCTGCAAAAAATTTCCATTTTCATAGGCGACACATTGTGTTTTCTGTGCTTTTACCCAAAAAGCCTACGGTTAGTTTTACTAAAAGCTTTTTAATAACCTAAATACACAAAAGGGAAGGAAAAAGAACTAGAATCATTCATATAAAAAATTTGTAGTACGTTTATGTCAATAGAAGAGAAAGTCTTCCTAGAAACAGATAGTAATTATTTGGAGAATATGAAAAACAGTTCAACTGTAAAAAACAGGAAGTTCGGGTGTATTCATTATCAGGGAAAATTAATCAAGCAAAAATGAAGCAAGTTCAAAAACATTGACAAAATGATTTATTCAAAAAATCATCACTAAATTAAAATTCATTTTACAAAGTCACGAGGGATAGTAGTGTATATTGCATTTCTTAACTGTTTCAATTGCCTGCAAAAAATTGTTAATTGTTACTCGCCAAGAAATAAGGAAAAATTTACAGCAGATTTTCATTGAACTTCATCAAAACCTGCAATCCTTCTGAATACATTTCCTATTTTCTATGTAAAATCATAATCCCGTCAATCTTTTTTTCTATTTAAAAACATAATTCCGTCAATTTCTTTTTCACACGCAAAAACATCTTTTTTTAAATATTTTGAAAACCATCCGCGCCACGCCACATATATCGCATTTCATATGTAACTATAACTTTGGGATCAATAAGAATTCGATTTGTATCGAATTAGTGAAGACAAAACCCGCAATTTATGCATACTTTTTAAAATTAATTAAATCAATAGCCGAAAATTGGCAGAGGAACACTAACTGAGTATCTGAAATCCAATAAGCTATTAAATCCATTCTCCGGTTAATCTTCTGGTGGTTTGGACTTTTGAGGTATTCTAGTTCTCGACAAAAAGTTTATTGTATGTATAGCACTAAACCTTTTTAAAAATTCAAAAAAAAGCTACTTTTTCGGAAGCAACATCTTTGTCAGAAGTACAGAAACTTTTGGTTAGGAATTGCAAAATCCAAAAGTCCAAACTACCAAAGATTAATTGGAGAATAAATTTATAGAAGCAGTTTGACAAAATGCGAAATAGTTACACATCAGAAGTTCATAACCGTCCGGCGTACACTTGCAATATCACATGACATGGTGCGTGGGAGGATCAAAGATCACTGATTGTTTTGTGAGACGCACTTGAAATTTCGGAATATTTGTTAAAATCCCATTTTAAATCCACTAATCTCACATACTCAATTTAAGTACCAAATAGGATCCCAAATTAATTAAAACTTATTTTTTTGCTAAAACTTGTACTGAAGGCGAATTTACGACATAATGCGCCTAAATTTATGATTTATGAAGAAAATAACGTGCTTACCATCAACTTTGAAGTTAGCAAACGCTGCACAATCTTCCTTCTTATCAACAAAGACGCAAATTGGCTGGAAAAAAGTAAAACTTCGCTTTGCAATAATGATCGAGATGCTTTACCGACGTAAATAAGTTAGTAGAATACGAGCTTAAGAAGTTTGAGACCCATTACTACCTCCTTCCAATGAAAGTTTTCAAATTTCCTGTGGTTTTATTCTATTAATCCATTTTCATATTTAAATACGCAACATTCATTTCATCTACTTTTCATCAAACCAATTTCAACTTTTCCTCATTATTTGATTAAAGCATTTGTTTCAATAAATATCAGAGACAGTATGAAGTTCAAGGAAATTTATACTGAAAAAATCCTCTTCGAAATTTAAAGAGGAGATGCAACTTACCTTCCCAAGTTTAATATTCTTAGTACCATCAGGTACCAAAATTTTAGCCAAGACACCTTCCTCGGATGCTTCAAACGCCATTACCGATTTATCAGTCTCAATTTCACATATCAAATCGCCTTCCTCGACCTCATCACCTTCCTTTATATGCCACTTGACAATAGTACCATGTTCCATTGTTGGTGAAAGAGCCGGCATTTGAATGAGTCTATGTTCCGGAAGACCTGAAATGGTAATGTCTAAAGCATGACACAAATATCTAAACCAGTTGATTATGACGATCTCCGGCAAAATACTGATATGGTATGCAATCTTCATCTTGACATTACATATATATTTCTTTTAAACTTTCAGAAAAAACCAATTACTGCTCAGAATTTCTAACATATTTCAGGTGTGTAAAATGCCCTGACGGAGCGTAAAAAATCTTGCCACTAGAATATAATCGATATAGCTTCTTGTTGCTATCTTGAACCCGATGAAAACGGTTTATGTAATGGTTGGAAACACCGAACAAAGATGCAAGTCGCGATGTCGATGCTGCACGTCTGAAAAATTAATTCTCCACTCGTTGCCTAATGAATACACAAACTCTACTTTATACGAAGAAAAAAATTTCTGAGAACTATAAATGTGAACAGAATTATTATCAATACATCGGGTATTCTTGTGTCGTCGCGGTCAAAAGCGGATGCGAAACGTTTCAACATAAATATTTTTCAACATTAACATACATAAATGAGACCGGAACTGCAGTACACGGCACAGCTGTAAGCTTAAGTCCATTGCGCGAATAGCGTAACAATCGTGAAATACTTCGTGAAGAAGTTTTCGGCATCATTCAAGATGGTTGGTTATTCGATTTTGGGCTAATTTCTTTTTCCGAAATTCAGAATCTCAATCGAAGATAAAGTTATCTGAAAAAACAACCGATAATTATTGATTTACATATGACACCAGCGGAAAAAAACTGAAGTACCAATCCGACCTTCAACGGAAAATGAAAACACAACAGAACAAAAATGCACACCATACACACATATACACACTGAATAACTGAGTACCACCTGCTGATCCATACTATACCTTCTGCTTCTACTCTTTCTGTCTTTTCCTTATCACTTTCCCAAAATATCTCTTTTTGTTTCTATCTTTAAACTACCTTCCTCATTTCTTTCTCCCTCTTTTTCATATAGCCTGATTCTCTTTCTCTTGAAACTACTCTCTTTTCACTCTCTTCTTTGTGATCTCTCTTTTTATCACCTATTTCCTACGTGTATGCACCAATTTGAAATAAATGACGGACGTGAACGAACGTTTAGGATTGACTTTACGTATTTTAATTGAACTTGGCATATGATCAATTAGCTGGACTCATACTTTCTGATATGCGCTATAAATGATGTTTAATTTATGATAAGAAAAGAAATATGACGATGTGATCGTTCGTTATGGTAATAGGAAATATGACGACATGACCGTCCGATATGATAATAAGAAAAGAAATATGACGATATCATCCGGTATGACAATGAGAAATCATATCATTAGGAGGATTCAAAAATTTACGTGAAAACTTAAGAGGAGAGCGACTGTATCGTACTACTTGGGATAACAGCGGATGTAGAATGGATGTGCCACGGAAATTCGAGATGAGAGTAGACACACGATATTAGTCAGATAATGGAAGTGCCATGGAAACTCGGGATGAAAATAATATACTAATAGAAAAAATAATAAAATTAATACACTGATATATTGTTGACATTTATCATCTCTGATTCCATTGAATTGAATAATTCCATTGAATTAATGAGTAGAAATAATCAGAGATGATAAAATCAACGATGAATGGTATGCTACTTGGACGTAATATAGCAGAAATGAAGGAATCAAAAAGGGAATAATTCTGCATGCTAAATAATTGAGAAGGTTATTCGATCTAGTTAAAACTCATCAAATTTATAGAATCCGAATATTTCAAATGAAATCTTTTATGGCTTTATTTTCTCCTCTTTTATTTAATTTGAATTTGATGATTCATTCTAATTGAAAATTAGAATTAAATTTGGGATGAGTCCAGCCGATAGTAAGCATTTATGGTGGAAAATCAACGTAACATTTTGGATGTTGCCAGCTTGCATTAGTTTATTTTAAAGGGAGATTTGAAAAGATTTTTTTTTTAAAAAAAGGTAAAACAATATATTTGATCATTATTGAATTACGGTAAATTAACTTGTAATGGCTTCAATTAGTAATATTTCCAGAATGCAAATACTTTTTAAATATTTTTGAAAAATTTTCCTACCATTGATATTTTATTGAAATTTTCTTTTGTTTTCAATCTTTATAAATTAATACATTCGGGAAAGTAAATAGTAATTAAATTGCTATGTTTAATTATTCATCACAGATGTTTAAACATTTCTTAAATTTAATCTCTTACTATTAGAATTAATTTCAAACTAGCGAGTGGAATTCAAATTAATGAGTGAAACATTGAAAATTATCAAATCTTCCCTTCAGATATGTTGTTCGGAATCTTTCTACTTCCCTACATTTTCCAACAATAAACTCATCTATTGCGTCTTTCATTTCAATACACCTGTTAATTCTAATTAGTTATATTATATCAGTAGAAATTAATACCATACACTGAATAGATTTAACAATTTAAATCGATGGAATAATTTAAATATTTATATTAAATCGTCAATTCTTCTGCAGCATTATCTAGATTCAGAAATTATATTATCTTTTCATAACATGGATACATATTGCATCCAGTATTCATTTATTCAAGAATAGCTATAGCATCTACTTATCATTCGCATTATCTTTTCATAAACATGGATACATATTGCATCCGGTATTCATTTATTCAGGAATAACTGTAGCATCTACTTATTACTCATTCTTATAACATCTGTTACCTGAAATATTTGCTAATTAAGAATTGCAATTATTGTTGAAAATATATAAATATACAGTTTTTTTCCCTTAATTTTAATCATTCATTCTTTTGATCTTTTGTATTTTCAACAAAAAATTTTGCAAACAACGGATCAAATAATGAAATTATCAAATCTTTCTGTATAATGACATTCGGAATGAATAATAATAATAATAATCATATTCAAATAATGATATTTGGAATGAAAGATAGTAAAAATTTGAAATAAATCAATCGCTTACTTTACATCATATTGAACTCAACCAAAAATTTGTTTAGCAACGATAATAAGTGAAAATTTTCACAAATATTTAACACTAACAAATATACAACATTCATTCAATCGTGGATCAGAATACACACACATATCTCTGTTGTATGAAATGACATATGTTGAAGATAAAGAACAGCTGTATAATAATAAGAATAATATAATATGATTCTTTTTTTAAATATTGATCCTGCTAAACAAGTATTTATAGATTAAATAAATAGAAAAGAATTCGACTCAATTGATTAGTGATATAATTATGAAGTTGACAACAAGGACATAATATTGTTGTTATTGATATTTACGATTTAGCGTAACATATCAAGTAAGTTGCTAAAAACGAAGCAAATTATTAATTTAATGGTTATCAATAATCAGTAATCAGTAATCCGTAATCAGTAATCCGTAATCCGACGTTAGCTGTCAGATGGAGATATAATAGCTAAAAGAAATGAAGGAAAATTACGATTTGCTCCTTGCCAATCTAAGAAGGAAAATTACTACTTGCTCGTTGCCAGTCATTTCAAAGATTACTGAATGCAGGAAAATAAAAATTGACACATAAATATCTCTGCTCTGATAACCAGCCACGTTTCAATCGCTATGCTCTGATCAGATCTTCCTTTTAATGTTCATATACCTATCCTGCTATCCAATAAGATTCTGTTAGAATGTGCTTGTTGTCAGCCACTCTTCATTTATATATCTTAATCTTTAAAGTTCGACTTCTTTTCTGTTCACAAGAAATTTGAATTCTCAATCTAAATGACTTCAAAAATTTAATAAAATCGACTAAAAAAAATTAAAATTAATTAATGTTTATTTTTCAAAAATAATTAAACTCAATTTTTCAGCTATAATTTAAAACAATAAAATTGAGTAGAATTTTAAAAAAGAAATTAATTAAAAGATAAGAGGAAATCAATGAAAAAATTGTTGACGGTTATGTGTTGGAGCCACCCGCACGCTGCCACATGAGAACTACCAACCGTATCCGGTAACTGCTTTTTCCGTTTTTCCATTTTTTTGTTTCCATTTTTTATATTTTTCGTATTTTTTTGGTATTTTTATGTTTCGACTACGTAGTTGGAAGTTTATTTTAATTTTTGCGATATTTATGATATTTAATTTCTTTTTTTGTGATTTTTCTGATAATTTTTAAACTTTTTTTGGTCAGCCACCAAGATACGAAGGAGTCAAATCAGCATCATAATGACAACTCTGAGGTAAGGTTGCTACCACGAACCAGTCAACCGTTGCTACACTCTCCCTTAAACGATATCATATTTATCGTAGTAATATTTGCTATCAGTAATGGGCAGAATAAAAATAGTCTACGGCATTTTCTTCCTCTTATCAAGAGATTACTGATAAGAGAGGATGAATAGATGATGAAGAAATATATTATATATATACACATAGATATAGATATACATAATGTAAGTGATATTTGCAATAATTTTTAGAAATTGCTAAATTTAGGAAAATAAATTAAATAATAACTTTATGCAATATTAAAATATATTTTAAAAGATATTATTCAGGTTTTTGTTTTAAATTTGCATAATTATAGAAATTTTGTAGGATATAATTTTAGTAATATACTATGTTAATTAATTTAAAAAAGTAGTACAAAAAATTAAGGAATCATTTCTTTTGATCCATTTATCGTCGATATAATTTCACTTACATTTTAAAAAAATGAAAGCTTCTGACAGCTTATTATTTTGAATTCATTCAATGTTAGTTGTGTATCATTACTGATAATACTGATTACCTTCCTTTTTATTCTTTTCTATTACCTTAATCATATAAATTTTAAGAGAAAGGTATACGAAGCAACCAGCAAATATTTGTCGTTTTAAATGATATCATACAATCGAAAGCTTCAAGTATGCTTTCCGGAATTTATCGTATTACTTTCGACTTCTTGAAAATTTACCGTAATACTGATTAATGATATTTACGAGGAGAAGAAAATGATTAAGATATATTGAAGTCTTTATTCTAAGATGAAAATAAAAATTAAAGAAAGAGAAGTACTTTAACATCAAAAGCACAATGAATCATAATTTAATAAGAGAAATTATTAATGAAATAAATAGTTTGCAGTTAAAATATAAAAAACTTATAATTTAATGAAAGAAATGGTTGAATTGACTAAGAAAAGAAATTGGAATCAAATATAGGAAATGGAAATCACAATATAATTGTAGGATTAATCGCAGAAATGACTAATTATAGTAGAATTGAATGTAAAAGTTATTATTATTACTGTTATTATTATTATTATTATTATTATTATTATTATTATTATTATTATTATTATTATTATTATTATTATTGTTAATTATTATTGCTTCATTCTTGAATAATTTATTCATTTCATTTTTTACCGATCTAATCATCATATCAATACATTGTAAATTCTCTTCTCGTTCCTCCCTCTTCATTTTTTTCACACTTCAATTTTTTAATCTTTTAAAACTTCCTAATTCTTGGCAAACTATAAATTTCTTATCAAATGATACCTACAAAAGAGCTCAGAAATCATTTTTATAGTATTAAAATTTATAAAAATAATTAGGGGCACGATTTTAACAAAAAAATATATTATTATTATTCTAAAATTTTGGCAGAAAAAGATTTCATTTTTTGTTGTTACCATTATCAAATTAGAAGAAAAAGGAAGTTTCTCGAATATCATCAAATCATTCGATTTGCCGATCGAAATGGATGGAATAGATCGGAGAAGAGAAATGATACTGAGCGATAAACATTGATAAGAATTATGAAAACGAAATATTTATGGTCATTTATTTTATTTTCTGTCATTTCTCATCAATAAAATTACGAAGGTTTTTTTTTTGAGAAAAAAATTTCAACAAATTTCAACGACTATTTTCTACTCTTTCTTTTCAATTTTAAAGAGACATTTCAACCAATCAATCCATTTTCTACCCATTTTTTTCCCATCATTTTATGATTTTTAATCAACAAATTTTAGTTTTGCATTTATTATTCATAACATTTTTTGCTTTCTTTCTATACTTTCAGGAAATAAAATTGAATTTAAAAAATCTTATTCCAAAATTATATGAGAAGGGAAAGATTATTTGCACTGTTGCAAAATGATTTCCTACGCTATAAAATTCTTCATTATTCTCATCCAAAATGTGTAACATTACCCTAACAAGTAATAATTAATACTTATTATTGAAAATTTTTATCATTGATATGTTAAACAATGACTGATTAAAAACGGATCGTTTTTTCATTGAGTGAAATATTAGTGTTGCAGAAAATTCTACATCCTTTGAACGTATATTCCATTGAATGAAGTTAGAAGTGTGAAAAAATTTTCTCATTCATTAACAAATCGATTAGTTATTCGATTTCTAATATATCAAATTCAAATATTTCATTATGATAGAAAGAAAAGATAACATTCGTTGAATATTTTTTGAAGTATTAATTTTTGAAAAGTGATAATAAAGTAATATTATTGAAAGAAATAATTTAATCAGGTGAAATTGATTAAAGGTAATATTAATTTACGTATCGTATAAATTGAATTTAGTAGTTAGCGCAATAGCTGTAAATGTTCAATCATTCCTTTTACGGAGAAAATCATATCCGTTATATTGTCTAATAACAGAGATAATAACAAATAACACCAAAGAGATAAAATATAGCAAATTGTTGCATTTATAAATAATTAACCTTCTCAGGTATTTCGCATTCTACTGTACTTATATATGCTATTTTAAGGTATGATAAATTTCTTCTGATATTTTTACATTTTCATCTATATGTTTGAAATGTTGAAGAAACAATTTTTTGCACAGAAAATTTTAATCAATTAAACGATTAATTAACTAATTAATCAATTAATTAACTTATTTATTTATTTACTATTAAAATTTATTATTAAATTTTTATTAGATACTTCTTTAAAAAGAAAAAATTAGTAAAATCATCAACCATTAAAAAATAAATATTTATAATTAAAGATATTGTAAATATTATATTTTAATTTCGCCTTTTAATTATTTCAAAAATTCCATCGCTTTCTTCTTTCAATTTTTCATTTTTTAAATTACTGACAGGAATAATTAATATCATTCTACACTTACTTAATTAATTACATATATTACTTGTTATTTATATTATTATTATTGCAGTTAAATGAATGGGTGTGTCAATAGCTGCTGTCATTGCATTTATCATTACATCGATGTTGTTAAGATTTCATAAAGAAATTTGACGAAATTTTGATTAATTGATTAAACCATGCACATACTTAATTTATTACATATATTATTTATTATTTGTTTTATTATTATTGCAGTTAAATGAACAGGTATATTAATTGCTGCAGTCATTAAATTTATCATTACATCGATATTTCGTTGTTCAAATTTCAGAAGGAAAATTAACGTAATTATCTTTCCGATTTATACATTTTCATTTAGAAATAATTAATACGAATATATTTTTATTTAATACTTTCATTCGCCAAATCTATTATTGCCAGCAAAAGTAATTTTCATCTAACAAACTATAAATTTTAATTGTTTTAAATTATACTTCACATATCATTTGTTACTGTTAAAAATTTATTTTAATGAAGTTTCTTTTTTCTGAGAGAAAATAACTTTTAGATTTTTGTATAAGTAAGTTTAAATACAAATCAATATGGATAGATTTAAATGAGTGCTTTTAGCAATTAGCTGTCATTAGAAATTTATGCTTTCTAAAATGTTTGAACAATTAATTATGCTATCTATTAAAGAAAAGATGTGATAGAAGAAGTAGACGAAAGTAATACATTAATTTTTGTAAACTTAGAAAGTTTACAAAAAGTAAACTTTAAAATTTTTTCCTACAAAGAAAAAATTAGTATTATCTATTTTCAGCTAATTAATTAACTGATTAATTAAACGGTTAATAATTAATTTCGAAAATTTTTCTATTTTAACTAATTAATTAATTGAATAATTAAAAGATTAATAATTAATTGCGACAATTTAGGAGTATACGAACAAATTTTACAATATGAAAAAATATATAAAAACATAAAATAGTAATACGGATAATTAATTGCTAATTTGAATTTATCACATGAAATGTTAAAATATTAAATTTTAAAGAAATTTTTTTTTGTAGTTTTTAAGTTTTAATATTATTGCAATCGATTGATAATATTTGCATATTATCAGACGTCACTGATAATTTCACCTATCATATCTAATTAATATTTTGCAATTTTTCTTTCTGAATTTATCTCTTTTTCATTTTTAATTCTTTTTAGTAAATTGTATATTTGTGTTTTCAAAATTCAACAATTCAATTATCTCAATAATATTCTTTCCACTTCCTATCAAATTTGCTTATCAATATAAAATTTATATTGTTTGCTATTAAATTTGCTTATCAATTTAAAATTTATAATTTTGCATTGCAAGAAATGATAGTTGCATGCATAAAACATAAGTGCAAATAATTCAGTATATTTTACATTCATCTAATATTATAATTAAATCATATTGCAATTGCTAATTAGCGTCAAAACAAAAAATTCAAAATTATTTCAAACCAAATTTTATAACCGCTTTGTTTCATTAACATTTTGAAATAATTGGTTAAACAACAAATAGTTCAAAACAATTAATTAAAAAATAAATTTAGCTTAAATATTTGATTAAATAATAAATAATCTTTTAAAGAAATTTATAGTATAAAAGTTAGTCGCATATGCAAATATTTGAATAATATTTTACTGATTAAAAAAATATTATATTTGGAATTATCAATTAAATAAGTATAAATAAATTAATTAATCAATTGTTTTTTCATTCTTCTTTTTCTATTTGATTCCATACAATGTCTAATATTTTCTCTATTTTTTATCAAAAAATTTATTGGAAAATTTTTTTTAAAAAGAAATCAAAAACACTCATAGAAAAATTTGTCAGTTTCTGAAATGATTTATTTACAAACGGATATAATGGATGTGTGTGTGTGTGTGTGTATGTGTGTGTGTGTGTGTGCGTGTGTGTGTGTGTATGTGTGTATGTGTGTGTGTGTGTGTGTGTGTGTGTGTGTGTTATGATAATAACAATTAATTGTTCTATTTAAAATCCTATCATGATCGTATCGGTGATGTATTATGTAAATGAAACGATGAATAACTCATTTCACGGATTTTTAATCTCTAATTTTTACCATTTTAATTTCCAATTATTGCATTAATATTAAGTTAATTAATATTATATTTATTAAGTATTTCTTTTTCAGTATTTCTTAAAACTTAAAAAATTATACAAAATACTTCTATTCCTTACAAATATCTATTATTGTTGCATTAATTTTATTTCAAAAAACTTTTATTACTTATTTCAAATTCCTTCATTTGTTAAAACAAAAAGTTATTCTTTCTAATTTTAAAGAATATTTTATTTATATAATATATAAATTACTTATTAATAAATCAGAAAAAAATTCGAAATATTATAATGATAATTAAAATATAATTATATATGCAATTCTAAAATTAATCCTTTCTTTTTAAGTATTTCAATTTAACCATTTTTATAAATGAATTTTTGTTGAAAGGCTAATATTATTTTGCGCTAAAATATTAATATCATTTGGTTTATTTGTTGGAAAACCACAATGTACTTCAAATGTTATCGTTACATTACGACATTTCCCTGATCTCCAAATATACCATTGATCACCTAAAAGAAAAAGAAAACTTTTGCAATATCAAATAATCGATATAATATCAATGAATAATTTAATGAATATAATGATATGAAATATTTGATATAAATGTTTAAATTTAATACCATAATATATTTGTAATTGAGAAATGAAATTTTATTAATACAAAATAAGAAATCGATTATGAAAGAAATGAATAAAAGAAGAATGAAATTTAATTCAATGAAATTTTCGAAATATTAGAAATATATTTTAAAAATAATTGTAAGATGAAAATTGCCAATAAGTAATAAATGTTGATTAATTAATTTTATAAAAGGAAATTTCAAATTTTTTAAACTTCAATTTACTTAATGTTTCCACCTCTTCCCAAATCATTCTTAATATATTTACCATAACTATAATTTTATATGTAATTTCAATAAAATTAACAAATAGTTCTAATACTGATAAAATTGAAATATTGCTTGAAAATAAATACCTCTTTTTAAAGTGTTATAATTATACCATCGGACACATTCGTGAACTGAATTTGGAATTTTTGAAATAACAGAATCACGATCAGCACCTTTACATTGTATATCACAAACAGTACGAACGAGTTTTGGCAAAATTCTATTATTACCTAAACTTATATTTCTTTTTCCATAAAATAAATATTTAAACATCAATTAACAAGGAAATATACAAAATTCAAAAAATGAACTTTAGAATTGAAATTATTTTTTAAAATTTAATTTTTTAGAGTTTCTTAGTTTAGCGATTTAAAAATCAAAACGAAAGAATACATTAAATTATTAATGAGAATATAATTTCGGCTATTTATATGAATAAAATATATAATGAGAACATTTTGATCTTTCAATTTTCTGTTATAATTACTACAAAGATTCTGAATTTAGTTTATATTTACTCCTTGTTAAAACCATTATCAATTATTTCAATTTAAGTAAACAATTGAAGAAATAAACATCTTGCAAGCTATCTTATTTCAATACAAAAATTTTTATACTTGTAATTTAGTTTATATTTGCTCTTTGTTAAAACCACTTTGAAAAGGTCTTCGTAATCTTAAGTTTGGAAAGCTATTTCATCACTCATATATTTTACAATGATGAAAGAAATTTTCAAAATTGAAAAAACCCTTTTGCGTTATATTTAAATTATTGTTGATAATAAAATAAAATAATTAAATATTTTTTTTAAACCTTTATTTGCTTCAATAAATGATTCCTCCGTGTATTTTTCATTGTAGCATTCGGTTTCAAGAAGTTTCGCGCTGTCAGCAATTGCTAATTTACATGTCAACCCATAATCAGCTCTATTTTGAATATCATTACCAAAACATGTCAATGTGCGCTTTTCTGAAAAAGGATTTTTTTTATTTTATATTTTACAAATCTATTTTAAAAACAGACAAACTCGAAAAAGCAAAAAATTCAAAAAAAAAAGAAGAAAATTTTGATAAGCATTACCCCAGTCAACAATTTTGGAGAAATCAGTGCAAATAACCAAATTGATAAATGCAATTAGGATGATAATAATTGCTGATAACATTGCTTAATTTTGACTGATATAAATGCTTTGAATTATTGATGTAAAAAATTTGAACTGAAATAAGAAATTAAAATCAATAATGATACTTTTAAATTCTACATTAATAGAAACGATAATTCAATTCATTGGACAAAAAATTTCATTATTATAAACTTCAATATTAATTCCTATAAATGTGTAAAAAGTTTGAAAATAAAATAAGCGAATATTAATGTAATAAAGAAAACAAAGGAAAACCTAAAAAGAGATTTTTGGTCATATGCCGATTAAAATTAAATTAAATTAAATTAAATTGATGTTCACTGTTGGAATCATAACAAGTTTAATGAATTCAAAAAGAAAATAACACGTTTCGATGGGATCGGTGAACGATTCAAGGACACAATCAATGTATCACAACTGAACATAAATAAAGCTAAAAGAAATTCATTCGATGGATGAGATCATTTTAAAAATAAATTTAACATAAAAAGTTAACAGACTACGAATGCAACTTATCTCAGAAAATTTATTCTTAAAAAAAACTAAATATTTGAGGAATGTGAAACTTTTTTGTTTTTTGAAATAAATTTTCTTTAAATGCTTAGCACTTATATAATCTTATAAATTATAATAATCTCTTACTAATAATAATAATTTATATTAACAAATATAATTCTTATATTTCGTAATACAAATAATTATATTTCTTAATATAAATCTTAAACCATTTCCAATTAAATCATTTTAATTATATAAATAAATCAATAGACAATATTTCACAAATATAAGATAACATGAAATTGATATCTAAGACAATTCCGCTCCAACATATATTTTATATCTATTTTTTTCCAATAAGTTATTCTGCAAATAAATTCCATTGTAAGCAAATAATTTTCATTGGCCATTGGCCATGGACAATAAAAATTATTTTTGGCCATTTCATTGGCCATAGTTAAGATAATTTCAATGGTGAAAATTGGCAATTAATATTTAAATAAAACCAAACAATACTATAATAATAATAACCAGCCGTTAATCTATCCTTATTTTATTAAGCGATGTAAAATGTTTAACTAAATATTGCGATAAATGTAATTTTAGCTAAAAAAATTTCTTACAAATTTTCAAGGAGACAACAAATTAGTTACAGATAGAATTTTCTAGAAACAAGGTATTTTCTCCACACATAAAATCAATCATCTTAAATATTTACCGTAAGATGCGTATTATTCAGATAGTTTTATGTTCTAATAATGTTTATATTTTAATTCATCATTATAGCTATTGTTATTTATATATAATAATGATGATTGATGATGAATGGATGGATGGATGATGATGATAATGATGATGATGGCGATAGTGATTGATGATGACTGATGATGATAATGATAATGATAATGATAATGATAGCGATAATGGTAATGATAATAACAATAATAAAAATAGCAATAATAATAATAATAATAATAATGATGATCTATTAACATTATTTTTAACGCCAAAATATGGATATAATTGTGCCCTTACGAAGAAAATAATTTACAATTGCATTATAATTAAATAAACTTCGACCCAATTTAACTTTTTAATATAATCTATTAATTAAAAATAACTATTATGAATTTTTATCTTTAGATAAACGAACAACAAATGATGACAGCTGAAAACTATCGCACCATCTACTATATAATTCTATCTTCTATCCATTTCTCATTAAATTAATTGAGGTTAACACTATTGATATGTTATAATTACACTATAATATTTTAGGAATGAGAACATAACGATCAGTTCCCTCTCATTTTCTTCTAATTATAAAATCATTTAACACTTCATAGTGTCACTTTTTCAATTCATATTTTTAAGAAGAAAATTTGCATTACAAATATATTTGTGTATTTTCTATTTAATTTTATATTTCTATTGAAATTAAAATAATTTTTAATATTCCTTTAATTATTTCTTTTCTCTTCTAAGAATTTCATTTGGGAAAAACAAGAAGAATCAAAGAAATTAATTATTTGTAATTAAATTTTAATAACAAATGATCTGTTAGGATAAGATTTTCGAAGAAATTTGATTTAATATTAAATTCTTCTTTTACATTATTCAAATTCATATCGAATAAGAAAAGAGAAAAAGGAAAGTTGGTGTAAGGAATATAAAATGCATGAAATGAAGTTACATTTATCTTAATCATTTTCTTCTCCTCGTAAATATCATTAATCAGTATTACGGTAAATTTTCAAGAAGTCGAAAGTAATACGATAAATTCCGAAAAGCATACTTGAAGCTTCCCATTGTATGATATCATTTAAAACAACAATATTTGCTGGTTGGTTCGCATACCTTTACCTTAAAATTTCTATTGTTAACGGAATAAAAAGGAAGGTAATTGGTAATATCAGTAATGATACACAAATAACATGTTGAATGAATTCAATATAATAAGCTGTCAGAAGCTTTCATTTTTTTTTAGATTTCAATTTCAGATGAATGTTTTATTGCTTTCTGCAAAATGTTGTTATAGAATAGCAAAATTTTGCAAGCATTGTGTCATGCAAACTGCAAATGCATGTCAATGCAATCTGCCGATTGCTAATATCAATTTTTCTTTTCGTTTATTCGTAAAAATAGGTTAGATTCCGAAAAATTCATTTTGAATTGGATTTTTTTGGATATTTAAATTTTTTACTTCTAAAGAAATTTATTTTGACGGTCTAAGTTCAGTACACTTCCACAGTCGCTATTCAAGTTTATAAGTATTGCATGAATGCAACATCGTTGGAATGTATAATCCATTGACCAGTCAACTTGTCCATACAATTGTAGTCACATCGTCAAACTTACATTGATGGTAGAAATAAATGCTGTCAAGATTAGGTGGATCTCACTTTCGTGGAATAAGAAGATCAAATTTTGAACACATCTCTTTTGCTTACTTATTATCTCTGATGCAATCGAATGAATTGTTGGAACGATATTATGAAATTAATAATTAAATTGTACTTACAACTGATTCGTGACAGAAGCAGCTGGCAAGAATGATTAACTTAATTATAAATTTTTTTCTTTTTTCAAATTATCAAAATTTTAACTTAGTTAAGGCAAATATATTATATAAACAACACTTATTTGTAAACTTTTTAATAAATTTGTAATTGGCATATATTTTAAAGTAATTATTATAATTAACTTTTATTAAAATTTTTAAGAATTTCGATTATTTATTTGAAAAATTGATTACATTTTAATGGAACTAATTGAAATGTTGTAATTTGAAGTGAAAATTTAAATTAATGTATGAATTGTTGAAATTGAAGCACAAAATAATTTCTAAAACAATTGTTAACTAATAAACTAAATTTTAATTAGTCGAAAAGATATAAAAACAAAGGTAATGTAAGTGAAATAATATCGACGACAAATGGATCAAAAAAAATGATTCCTTAATTTTTGTATTATTTTTTAAATTAAATAGCATAGTGTATCACTAAAATTATATCCTACAAAATTTCTATAATTATATAATTATATACATATATATATATATATTCCTTCATCATCTATTCATTCTCTCTTATCAGTAATCTCTTGATAAAAGGAAGAAAATGCCATAGTATTTATAATCTGCCCATTACTGATAGCAAATATTACTAAGACAAATATGATATCGTTTACATTAGCGTAGCAACGGTTGACTGGTTCGTGGTAGCAACCTTACCTCAGAGCTGTCATTATGATGCTGCCTGACTCCCTCGTATCTTGGTGGCTGACCAAAAAAAGTTTAAAAATTATCAGAAAAATTACAAAAAAATTAAAATAAACCCATAATTTAGTCATTAGTACTACGTAGTCAAAACATACCAAAAAAAATACGAAAAATATTAAAAAATAGGAACAAAAAAAACGGAAAAACGGAAGAAAACAGTCATCGGATACGATTGGTGGTTCTCATGTGGCAGCGTGTGGGTGGCTCCAACATATAACCGTCAACCTTTTTTGTGTAACTTTTTTCAGACAGGTAATTTAATTCTTTTTTCAAAGTTTTTTTTATATAAGTAATTAAATTCTCCTTTTGTTGTTTTTTATATACAAATAATTAAATTCTTTTTTTCTATTGTTTACTTTTCTTGTTTTTGTTTATTATTTCAAAGTTTTGTTTGTTTATTCTTTTATAGCTTAATTTTTTACTGCATTTTCGCCTTTTTTTTTGCTACAAAAATAGCTTACATATTTTCTTTCGGCAATATTTTAATTTATCGTTTCGATTATTTAAATTGAAACTAAATTATCTCTTCTTCGTTACAAATTCAACCAATGAAATGAAATGAAAAAATAAACCTAAAGATTATTTAATTAAGCATATCAAATTAAGAATTGAGCTAATAATTGGATAAATGATATGATACATACAGCTATAATAGTGTTAAGACTTTGATGATACAATCATTAATGTGTGATATTATTATCGCATATAAAATATTTATAAATTACATTTGAAATTTTTCTAAATTATTTTATTTTTATTCCTTCAGTAATTAGGTTTCAGAGAAGGATAAGCAAAAGTCACGTTATAATTAATTATTATCTTCCCTAATCATTGGCTTAAAAAGGTTTCCGCAAAATATATAATACAATACGTAATTCACAATGATTTTTTTTTGATACATTTAATTTAATGATTTAATGATTGAATTAAATTCAATGATTTTTTTTGATACATTTAATTTGTATCAATTTTAATTAATTCAATTACACAGCATAAAAAAGAATTATATGCTAATTAATTAATTTCCTATTAATTGTTTCAATCATACAACAACAACAACACTCAATATAATTCATATATTCCAGAAATATTTTCATTTTTCTCTTTCCTCAAATTGAAATTCATTTGAAAATTCTCGGCGATCGATGTATTTTTCTTTGATAGATACGAAGAATTAATAGCTTTGTGAAACGAAAATGAAATGAGTTAGAAATGCGAAATTTAATCAATCAGAACGTTT